TCAACAAGAAATGAAGGCAAATAATTATTTAGTTTTTCCCCCTCTTTACCTTCCAGATTGGTGCTTCGTTTGATGACCCCAGCAACCCATGTGTCTCCTACTCCTGCAATAGCACTGGCTTCGTTGCGGAGGTCCAGGACTGCCCAAAGCAGACCTGGTGTGCAGAAGTATGTCATCTTAACTAATGAGTAACAAGATCCACTTCTCATATTAAACATGAACGTAACCTCTCTTCTTCCTCATTTGAAAAAGTTTGCATCTTGCCAACAGATACAAATTTCTTGTACATTCCATAGTTCTTTAAACAAACACTGTATTAAGAGCCAGATGATTTCAGATATGTCTTTTATTGTTAAATATTTTTTTTTTAATCAAAGGCTCTCATACTCTGCAGGATCTGTGAAACTTAACTTAGTGCTATACTAGATGAAGTAGGTTATAGAGAGCATTTTGCTATTTTTATTGTTTTTTAATTTTTTTTTCTTAGTGGCTTGCCATAAAGGGGATCTGAACCCTTGATCTTGGTGTTATAAGACCATGCTCTAACCAAATGAGCTAACTGGCCAGCCCCCATTTTGCTATTTTTAAACAAACAAACAAACAAAATCCCATCGACACTTTTTATTAGCTCATGAACTCAGGTTAATCATTTTCTATAAAAATACAAATTTTCCATATAATCTCCACGTATGAGTGTGTGTATTGTTCAGATCTTTCTTTGTGCCAGTTTTCTTCATTTTTATGCCCCCAAATATAATGAGGTTTTGTATTTAGGAATGCTTAGGTTTAAGTTATTATGGGAGGTTTACATTTAAATTATATATTTTTTTTCAGAAAATATAATTAATAATATGAAGTTTCATTTTAGAACTCCAATACTAGATTTCAGTATTTATTGAGCTTTTACTTTGAGACAGTGAGAGGTTTGAAATTAATTATAACAGAAAGTGAAAAGTGCAGACCCTAACTGTGAGAAGGTTATAGTATCTAGCAGTGATATCATTGTTAAACTCTTTTTCAATTAAAATGTGAGGAATAATTTTTATTTTTTGCATGTTAACTTTAAGAAGAATTTAGCTTAAATATAGTTTTTTCTTTTGTACCTATTGATGAAAAATTTTAGACTAAAGACTCAATCTCATTTTTATTACTAAGCTTGCCTTTTTCCTTTCTAGCTCTTGCTTTAGCAGCTGAGATTCACATGTCCTTCTGTTCCATTTCTCCCTTTTATGATGCTATCTCAATACATTTAGAAATGCTGTATTGTCTATAGAAAAATTTGGCAGAAGTGTTCAGTCTTTTTTCTTTTCTCTTACCCCTATAGATAGACAGAATCTACGATTCAAAAAATTGTTGCTACACATGTAAGTAAAGTTAAGCTCTACATGTAGAGGAAATGTAAGCTGTTGACAAAAGTTTAGAGTGTCTTCTGAAAAAATATGGCTGATCATTAGTAGAAAGTCTCCTATATTATTAACACAATGGGTAATCTAACCTGCATGTATAAACTACCAATTGATATTTATATACTATGTATTACGTTTGTTCATTTATTTTGATTGCAGCATTCTTCCCAGTGAAGAATGAGGGATGTTTACAAGAAAAAATATTTAATTTTCATGGAAAAAAATTAGCTTGTTCTTCTAACATCAGCAAGTTATGTTATAAATTGATGCATTAGATCATAAGGATGAC